TCCCTTCTTTTAGGTCTCTGCTCAAATATCGCCTTTCCAAAGGGGCCGTTCCTGACTTTTTTTTTTTTTAATTTTAATTCCAGTGTAGTTAACATACAGTGTTGTATTGTTTTCAGGTGTACAATAAGGCAGTTCTACCATTCTATACATTACTCAGTCCTCATCATGGTAAGTGTACTCTTTAATACCCATCACCTCTTTCACCCTGATCTATTATTATTATCTAAGATACTTCCATCATCCTCTGGGTTCCCCCAACTTTCCCACCACTCTCTGTTCCCTTGTTCTGCTTTATTTTTCTTCATGACACCACTACCTGAGATTGTGTTTATTGTCTGTCTCCCCCACTCTATGAGGACAGGGACCTGTTCTGTCTAGTTCTCTTCTGTATTCCTAATGAGAAAAAAAACAGATCTGACCCATAGTAAGTGCTCAGTGTTTATTGAGTAAATGAGTTCCTGCGAGTCTTAGCCATAACTCCAAGTTTAAATATTTCTGGAACCTAATCTTATTTATAATTCCAAAACTAAAGATATTCTGTATCCAACGCCAACTTTTTCTTTTGTCCTTATATCATCATTCTGATCATTATCTCTCACCCCATGCTCACACACATGCAGGTGCACACAGAATGATGATCCAGATTCCAAATGATGTAGAAGGGGCTTTGGCACTGTAATCCCATCTGTAAGAGGTCTCAAGGATGCGTTTTGGTTAGAAATTTAAAAAACATTGAGAAATGTCAACTGTCCATGTGAAAGAAGGGGTTCTGTTGGGAGTGGGCACTGAAGTTTCCAGGCTTCCTCTTAGTAACCCCACCTTTTTCATCCATCTAGCCCCCAAATCCCAAACCTGGGAGTTATTCTTTTTAAAAAAAATTTTTTTTTAACGTTTATTTATTTTTGAGACAGAGAGAGAGCATGAATGGGGGGAGGGTCAGAGAGAGAGGGAGACACAGAATCAGAAGCAGGCTCCAGGTTCTGAGCTGTCAGCACAGAGCCCAACGCGGGGCTCAAACTCATGGACCGCGAGATCACGACCTGAGCCGAAGCCGGATGCTTAAACGACTGAACCACCCAGGTGCCCCACTGGGGCACTCTACCATCTACCATCACTCTCCCTTTTCTTACAGTTTACCTGAGGGCAGGTAATTTTGCCTCTATGTACCTCATTCATTCCTCTGTCCAGTCTCCATAGCATTTGTCCTACTTTAAGCCCCTTTGTCAGCCTAGCTATTGAAACAACCTTCTGAATAGTCCCCTGTCCCTTTTCTTCTCTCTCCCAGCCACTCACTCCACAAGTACTGGAGTAATCATTCTTAAGTGTGTACCATAGGTTGTTTGGGTCCAGCTTCAGATCCTGTTCCTTTTTTTCATTATTTTTATTTTTATTTACTTTTTTTTTAGAGAGAGAGAGAGAGCATTTGAACATGAGCAGGGGAGGGGCAGAGAGCGAGGGAGACAGAATCTGAGGCAGTCTCCAGGCTCTGAGCTGTCAGCACAGAGCTTGACTGGGGGCTCAAACTTGTGAACCTCGAGATCATGACCTGAGCCGTAGTCAGATGTTTAACGACTGAGCCACCCAGGTGCCCCTAGATCCTTTTAACAAACTTTTTTATTTCCCATGCCAGACTCCCACTTCACACTATAATAACTCCAGTCTCTTACCCGGTTCTATTTACTTGTTTAGGTGTCTGTCCCTTACACTAAAAAAAAAAAAAAAAAAAAAAAACAAAACTATAAGCTTCTCAAGGATGGGAATTTTTTCACTCCAGGCTCTCCAGCCCAGCACCAGGCCCTTGGTGGGCCTAATAAACACTGAATCTTGCTCAAAAGTCTTTGCTGGGTCTCCATTGCGCATAGCAGTAATTCTATAAACTCACACCAATCGATGAAGAAGCCAGCTCTCATCCCAAAAGAAACAAAAAGACTGCTTTTCCAGAAAAGAACACGTCCAGTTTTATAGACATTCTGTGATCGTGTTTCTTGTTTATGATGTTTTACGGACACAAATATTGCAGTAAGGTTACTAGGAATAAATTGTATTGCTACAGCTAAAAACACAAATCAATACATAAAATATTTTCCTCAGTAATGGAAAAGTTAGATAAAGTTGTTGGCTGTAACTTTTAGTGCTGTAAAGATAAAACACAGAGGTAAGGCACCATTTAATAACTAGGTAAGGTATGAGAGTAACATACACAGCAATGAGTCAGACTGTGTGTGCTTCCCGGCCTCCCCTCAGGAAAAATCTCAATGGGACCTCAGCCTTTTTTTATTCTATTCTGTCTACCTGGAAAGCCTTACTTCACCTAATGTACCTGGGAGCTAGAGAAGGAAGGATTCCTGTGCACTGAAAAGCAAGTAAAACTTAGACTCAGGATGGACATGGAGGTTCAAGTGGTCCCATACAATCATTCCACAGTGGAGGTTTTTGCACCGGTGTAGAGGAAAACAATGTAAATAAAAGCATAGACATTAAGGTGGCCCATGGTGGGTGTAAGGAGAATGTGGAAAGAAGGAACAGAACTACCATTTTTACAGCTACTTTTTCTCACTTGATCTCAAAGCAACAAAGGGTAGGCAATGTTATTTGCATTCAATCTGAAGCTTCTCTTTATTCTTTCAACAGATATCTTCTGAACACCCAGTATGGACACAGCCGTTGCCCTCAAGGAGAAGGATACCTGCGAACAGGTGGCCCCGATCAAGGAGGAAATACGCAAGTAGCACAAGTTGGTATAAAATCATATGCAATACTGACATTTTCAGGGCCTTAGTTAAAATGTGGCTGTCATGTGGGAGAGAGTGGGAACTACTGAGAAATTAAGGAAAACAGCTTTTGGTATTCAGAGAGCAGTAGCTTTCTTCTCTACGCCCTTCTCATCTCCACCCAAAATCAAAATGGTTTAAAGCATGCACTGAACAATGAGAAAAACACCATGTTTTCTCCTTACCTACCCTGGAGTCTAGTACATCTGCGCCAGGAGGCCAAGCCCAAGTCCTGTGAAGCACTGCGGGCTCATTTTCTGAGCTGATCCTGAAGGATAGATAAGGAGTTTCATCAGGCAGTGGGGGTGGAAGGAGAGAGCTCACCAAGCAGGCAAGTTAGAGAGATATTCTGGGCAAAGCGAACAGTTTGTGCAAAGGCGTGGAAGCATGAGAAACCATAATAGTTTAGGGAAGCCACGAGCTTTAGTGTGAACGGAGGCAACTATGGCAGCAATTACCAGGAAATGAGGCTGCAGAGATATATTGGTCCCATGTTATGAAGGACCTTGTCTGCTACCATAAGGAATAGAAAATGACTGTGCTGTGCTCTCCCAATGCGGGGTACTGTTACATAAAATAAAGAGAGATACGGTTGGAAATGTGGATGGGGCTCGATTAATGGCAAAGCCGAGGAGTCTGGGTTTTAACTGGCAGACCGTGGAGCATCATCTAGATCTGGGATCTAACCTGAGGCAGGGAACTTCAGGACGCCCTTCACACGCTTGTGTCTTACACCTGCTAGCTCCCGGGTGTTTTCGGTGTTGGTACACTGCTTCCCGAGTACCAGGGCTTACCTGTGTGGTGTTTACCCCACAAACTGATGAAGCAAGTGTTTCCTAGTTCTTGCTCCCAGACAAGGGGGGCCTTCCCTGTGGCATTCTTCAGTTCATCTGCTCAGTGGACTAGCGCCATCGATACACTTAGGTTATATAAAGTTTATCAAGTAACAATATGTGGCCACCTGGACAGAATTTGTTTCAGGACCTTCTCATTCCTAAGTGGCTACCTCCCAAAACAGAGGATAACTATTTTTACATGCGCCCCTTGGCCCACGGGGTGACCTTATATCTTCAGTACCTTTTCAGACAGGAATTAGGAGGTGGGGAAGCCGCCGCAAAGGCCCAGCCCACGCACTCTGCACAGCCACCTCCCGCCATGGACATTGGCCTGGCAGGCTTTCGGAAAAGAACCCCAGGTCTTCCCTCCCTGTCTCCAGACCAGGCTCTCCTCTGCCCAAGGCCCACATTGATTAATTGCCCCTTTTAATAGCACGGCCTCAGTCTTTAGGGAGGAAGGCGTCACATTTGCTCTTCCCCTTGTAAGAACGGGGCCCAATTCATTCTTGTCCAGGCAGCATAATAAATAACCTGCCCCCGTTGGCAGGGAGTTTATTAGAGACTGATGGGACATTTAACAATAACTGGGGGCCTGTGATTTATTAGGTAGGGAGGTTCATGGC